TCTTTCTCTGCTTTCTCGCAACAAAGCTGAACCATTTCTCAATCCAATTGTTAAGTGTGATGAAAAATGGATCATGTATGATAATCGTAAGCGTTCATCACAATGGTTGGACAAAGATGAACCACCAAAACACTGTCCGAAACGAGACGTCCACCAGAAGAAGCTGATGGTCACTGTTTGGTGGTCTGGCTCAGGTGTCATCCACCACAGCTTTATGGAACCTGGCCAATCGATCACGGCGGATGTCTACTGCTATCAACTAGACGAAATGATGAGAAATCTTGCGATTAAACAGCCAAAATTAGTTAATCGGATGACTCCAATCCACCTGCACGACAACGCTCGACAACATGCCGCACGAATGACCGTGTCAAAGCTACAGCAAGTTGAAGTTGGAAACTCTTCGTCACCCACCGTACTCGCCAGACCTTGCCCCAACTGACTATCATTTCTTTCAAAATTTAAACAACTTCTTATCGGGAAAAAAATTCAATTCCGCACAGGCTATAAAAGTGGCGTTTCAAGAGTTCATTGACTCCCGTGATCCAGGCTTCTACAGCAAAGGGATAAGTGAGTTACCTCTAAGATGGCAAAAGTGTATTGTTGTATATACACATATAAGTATGTGCATACTTTGATTAAAAATAAAATGTTCTTATTGGAAAAAAATCGAATTCACATATGTGCCTTTTTTGCTCCATTTCATACTTGACAACCTAATATTCTAGTAAAGATAACAGACGACACTCTTACAAATAGACATTCGTAGCCGGACAATCACAGAGTGTATTAACAAACACTATGGACGGGATAATTTCGGTGCATGTGTACTCGTGCGAATATTTCGTTTCGACGCATAGAAAAGGGCAAAAAAAATCCCATAGAGTGAGTTTCGATGTGCTCTTGCGGATTGAGCGAGTGATTAGGTTGAATGCCAGGATACATCATTTCAAAATAATTTTCCATCTCCAGTACCCGAGGTAAGGACACAAATTTCTTATAGGTACAGTCCTACTTACAATTATCGACATGCATCGATCGACGGTGATCAGCTAAGCGTCTGCTGAAAACATTCGATGCAAGTCGGTTTTTCAATTTTAGGGGCAAAAACATCGAATTTTTAAATGTTAATAATTAATTAACGAAGCCCCAAACGAAATTTTTTCTCTCTTGATTTTCGACTTATTTTCGACCAAAGAACACGTCCTTAAAATATTGCCCACTAGTAGGTTTACACCCTGTATAGCTGACATGTTCGGAGATAAATAGGGGGTNCCTCCCACCATGCGTTAATCGCCGCCTCGCCTCACCGACGGTTCATTCTACACGGTAGGACAATAAGACGGATGAATAGGCAGGATAGAGAATTATACACGTGAATAAGAAATATTCAAATATTTAATATTTACATGTCGTTCTTCCATTGCTAAATATTCAATGAAACATGTAATAATTACGATACGAATGTTCAATGTTGCTCAAAATATAAATGTTAACACTTTTCAAAAACTGTCAGACCAGTACGCTCTATATGCTGTATCGTATGATACTACGTGAAGTCAGAACGGAGATCTGCGCATGCACTTGTATTGGGAAATGGTAAATATGGGTGGGAGATGCGCAGAACGACCGAAAACTGAACCGTACCGACTCCTAGTCACTCGGAACTCAAGTGTAGAAGCAAAAGGCGGCAATACCAAGTATTAGTAACTTCATTACGTATTTCATTTATTACGTATTATATTAAGTGCCCACATATTTTTGTCTACTGACAAATAGCTGTCATTTTCATTAAGTGTAGCGTGCTTACACAAACATGCAAATATGAACTTCAAATATTCACTAAATAATGTTCATACTATAATGATGTATAATAAATAAAATT